GTCTCTTCAACTGCAGTGCTGCAGACGCTGTCTTACAGAAACTTACCTACCACAACGTTTTGGTGCTCAGACTCATCCTCAAGAACACAGAGTCCAAGTAAAGACAGCTCCAAAGCTCGGCATTATGAATAGCCCCTTATGTGTAAATGGGTAAGGTACATCGTGCAGCACTACCTTTCTGCCTAATGCTTCAGTTTCTGCCCAGTGGAAAGTCTAGAGGCCGGAGGGAACAAGGTAGAGCAAGCAGGGAAGTATCAGCCAACAATCTTTTGTTGCCTACCCGCAGGAAGGTGCAAAACTGAGCAGGGAGGAGCCTGGAATCTAAAAAAGCAATTCTCTATAGATTGGCCCTTTGCCTGAAAGACAGAAGGAGGAACACCCAGTGTCTGCACTGGCACAAGCTACATACCAGAAAACTGAAATACAACCCATGCCAAGTTACACTTTTGAAAAGCTAAATGTATGTAGGCCAGTGAAAACAAAATTAGATAGGAAGTTCAGAGTATGAAAAATTAATAAAACAAGTTTGGTTTTACATGAAAGTCAGCTTAGAAAGACAAACTGAAAGCGCAAGGGGGATTAATAAAAATTTTCATGCCAAGAATCTGATGGGAACAACTATTAATACAGTTACTGAGCTGTTAAAGACAGCATTTAGGAGAACCAAGAAAGCACAGTATGGACCAAGTCATCTCCATTTGCACTTCATCTTTCAAAATATGCTTTAATATGCTGCCTCTTCACCATTTGAAGTGGGATTTATCCTTTTAAATTATGTTTAAAAATAAGTAAATAAAAAGAGTTGTCTACAGCCTACAAACATTTGCTTCTTCAGGATTTTAATCATATGGCATTTGTACTCAGGAGATGGCTAACACCTAAGGCCTAGCAGGTTTTGTGCAGTTCCCAAACTGCAGAACTTTCCTAGTGCTTGTCCAAATGACAAGGAAAACACGGAACACCACACAATGCACATGTGCACACAGAAAACACCACCAATACTGCCACTCTGCAACTGACACCATTAAAGATAAATTTAACAATCATTTAAAGACTAACTACAACCTTTAAACACCACCTTGCTGCTGCATTTCCAGAAGCGTATTTTAATGCGCTTAAGGCTTATGGAAAAGTTAAGTACCACTCAACATGTTCAGGTGGATTTTCTTCTCTCTGTTCACATCCTTTCCTACTACATTATCAGCTTCTACACTGCATTTTCTGATTCACATACTCATCCAGTCCTTTTCAGAAGATGCTGGGCAAGAAAAGGTGTGAAGCATAGGAGAAGATATCCATGAAAGATAGTCTGAACATAAGGAAGAACACATAAGAATGGTTAAATTGTTGAAGTTATGCACTGCAATATAGTGAAGTGTACAAGATAAAGTTACTGAGCAACAAATTTGCTTTTTTTTCTGCTTTCTTCTGTGTGGGGGTTTTGGCTTTTACTTGCAGGAAAGAAAAAAACAAAACACTGCAAGTCCTCATCCTAAAGGACACCACTGTTTTCAGTTTCCTTCATTGTTAAGGCAGCTCCACCTTTGGCAAAAGACTGGTCCTTTAACACTCCAATTTAACACTTTAAACCAGACATCTTTTGAAGTGCTTTGATTCAAGTTATCTGTCCACATCAAGTTAGGATCTACGTGAATGTAGTCACACGGATTTAGGAAACGGGATGTCCTTTTGAAATATAATTTACACTACTCATTACACTTCATACGATGTACGGCCTAGATACTACATAGCTGATGACAGCTACTGACCTTCCAATGGAATCTGTCCTTCCCATGAGCCTTGTGCAACCCTCCCCAGAAATCAGGGAACAAAAAGGGGTGGAGGAAGCGAAGATTTGAACAGGTAGAGACTGCATACTTCTCTTCATGCAACCCAGAGGTGACATCTTTGTCCAGATCCAGAAAAGTCACTTTAAGGAATGTAACATTTTTACACAAATGTTTCCTTCCAGACCTGTGCATAACAGGAGGAAACAGTGCAATACAAACTATATGGCTGTAACTAACTGCAGCTATTTTTACATGTAGTCAAACAAGAGGACTATATCTAGTGGCATTGAATCACCCAGTTAATAAAAAGGAAGAAAAGCAGCTCCATACCATCACCACCAAGAGGAAAATTCAGCACTTCAGCTCCCTGTTCCACACAAGTATTTCATCAAATGCACACACTGAACATCCCTGTAACATCGTGAAGGTTCCAGGTCTGCTAAACTAACATCAGTGGCACTGCACCGCAACAGAATCTATCTTCTCAGTGCGCTAGATAGACTGATGCCGTTGAGGTGGGGGCAGGGAGCCAGGGAGTGTAGAGGTGGAGAAGGAAAAAACAAACCCCACATTAAAAAACATCACAAAAAAACCACACAACCCCCCCACAAAATAAAATACCACAAAAACCCCCACCACAGACCAATATAAACCACACACAGGCAGTACTGATCTCTTCTGATCACCTTTTACTCAGGACGAAAAGCTCACAGTCTGCATTTGCTACAATTAGAGTGAGAGATCAGACTGCCAGTGCTCCAGTGCACTTCTAGTGCACTACACCTTTTGTCTCATCCTGATGAGATATTAATTATGCATTAAAAAAGTCAAAATTATTCAAACTTCTGCAGTCATCTAAACGGATTTCTGCACATCCTCCTATTCTTTCATCTCCCTAAAGTCAACAAATATTTGAATTTCACCTCTAGTATTTAAAAAGAAAACAAACAAACAAACAAAAAAAATCAACACCCAACAATAAGCCGCCCAAAGAAAAAAAAAACATCTCTTACTTGTGGTAGCTATATAAAGAGCCAAAGAAACTTTAAAATACACCAACCTCTTTGAAGACTAGCCATTCCCAAGAGATGCCAGTTGGCTGCATTTTATTGTCTCAAACTCAATAATCTTGACATGCCCCATACTCCGTCTTAAATACTTCCAATAAAAACAGCCTAACAGTTTTCCTGCAGTGTCATTCCACTTATTCACGAATTAGCATCAATTTAAAATTAACATGCAGTCACATCCAAATAATAGATACACCTATTTACAGTTACTTTCAGAACTGTCCTTTAAGTGCATTTAAAGCCACACAGCTTGAAGATCAGCAAAAATCCCATATCTAAACCAAGTCCCTATATATTTGCCTAGTAACCTGTGCCACAGCTCATACAACTAGAGTAGTGCACTACACTGATAGGCAACTACCAATTCACCAACCTCACATCAAAACTATTTCTGTCAGGGAAGTGTGTATGCTGAATAGTTTTTAAATACGCAAGTCGCACTGTTAATTTTGAGGCACCCAAATGAAATCTTATTTCTTGCCAAAGCACTTGCTAGAGAACAGATTTGTTTGGCTAACTTCTAAAAGACAGACTTATCCTTATATCAAGTATTTTAGTATGGCTTTTTCAGCACTGTGACCCAACAAACACTCTTTGCAATGGATGCCAGTCCCAGCAGGTAGCCCAACAAGGGAGATTTCTGTTTCCACAGAATTCATGTGAAGTATCCTAGTATTAAATTATTTTGGTTGCTCAGTACTCTAGCCTTCAAACTTCTTCTGCCACTAGAGCATCAGAAATACAGAGGAATCTCCAGAAGTACATGACAACAGACAGATTTAATTACTTGTAGCCATAAGCTTTATAGTGTATAAGCTACAGCAGTAATTGAACAGTAAGCAACACTTCTGAATTTCCATTCTGATTATTGAGTGTGAAGCTTCATGTATTCTTCAAATACTCAAGAAGTCCAATTTGACAGAAATAGATATCCACACATAAAAACAATCACATTTAACACATATTTAGGGAAGCTCACAAAAATCAACCTACAGCTACCAACACTTGTGCCACCTCTGGCAGCTACACAAACAAGTGTTCTTGTAGACTTGACTAAATATTTCTAACAGAAGCACACTCTACTCTGCAACCTCCAGTGCTTTAGTCAGATGAAGGAAACAAGCAAGTGAAAACCATAATACTATTTCTTGAAGGAGACACTAATGGCACCTCTACAATCACAAAGTTGCCCGGGTTATTTCATGTCAAAAGAACTGCCACCACACTTAACCAATGAGAAGTGGTGAGGAAGAAAAAAGAAAAAAAACTCGCATGTAATCACCAATTTACAAATATTTTACAATAACCTGATTCAAGTAGAACAGAGAGCTTTTTTTTCCCCGAGTTCACTGAAAATTCAAAACACAATTCACCATATTAAATGGGAAATGATCAAAGAATGCCTGCAGATAGGTCTTTTGATGCTATCCTTTCATAAACAAAACATTAAGTGACACCCCTTCTCCCTCAAGGCTTAAACCCTGTAAATAATTAACCTGAAAACAAGGCCCAAGTAATAGCAAAAATAAACCCATGTAGGAAGTCCAACAAAATTGAAATAAGAGGAGGATTCTGCTCTGTTTGTCACTCTGACACTTGCACTCATATTCTTAGAATATTCACACTAACTCCAGCTCCTATCAATTGCAGTTTTAAAGCTGAGTATCCTCATAAAAATATCTTTAAAAATGACAACTCTAGCAGTTTTAAATAGAGTTGTACCTGTAGTATTTCAAGTGGTGTTCAAACTACAAGGAAATCAGTACATCCCAGCATAAAATGAATGCAGAATACCACAATCAAATTACACAGCAGATTCCAGCAACACCAGTCTGCCAGGCAAGACAGAGCAATCTCACACCTAGAAGGGAGCATGCAGCTGTACTCTTCCCTGCTGCTATGTTTATCTACTGCAAATCCAAAGAGCAAACTATTCAACACAGTGGCAGGACATAGGACCTAAATAAAATTCCTTTACCAGAACTGTTTCCACATGGATCTTTGACATGCATCCTCACTTATATACATTTAAACAGATACATAAAGAAGTAGAAGAATCATTATTTTTGCATTAAATAAACAAACAACAAGAAGAATCATTTTTTTCATTACTACATTTGCTTTCATTTTTCAAACTTACCTGGTCTTTTTCATGGGGTAGAAGGCTGACAGGTGGAAGAGAAGCTGGGAAAGTGGTGGTGTATTTTGGAGCTCCTTTGCTTTCCAAACTGCCATAATTCACTTTGTACTGAGGTCCATCCTTCAGTAACCTCCCATTGTTCACAGCACGTTTGGCCCCCAAACGCAACCTCTGCTGAAAGGCAGGATTGTTGAAAACACTCGCTAAGTCATTTTGACTTCTCAAATACTTCTCTATGTTTTTCAGGGAGGAGCCACTTGGTTCTTGAAGTCCTTCAATTGCTCTTCTCAAAAGTTTATTCCAATCCACATTACGAAGCTCAGTACAAGCTCCTCTAGATCCCTTAACAGCTTTAGGAATAGTGCCAGGTTTAACAGATGAAAACCGTCCAGGATTATCAGGGTCCTTGTAGGATGCAAGGCCTTTGTTGGTAACTTTAAGAATAGAACCATCTTGAACGCTAAGTTCCAACTGCTCCGAAACTGTCTTCTTATCTAATCCATGGGAAGCACAAACAGCATGACATATTCTCTCTTCAGAAGGCCTTTGCTTTTGCTTTTTAACTTTTTGTATAGCTTCAAGAATCCACTCCGTATAAAGAGGGTTGGCAAGTTTTACCATGGTTGACCAGTAATTGTTTCCAGCCAAGGGTTACCCATAGAGGTTCCTCCTTATCCTTTTAGCAGATCTTTCAGGGGTTGTTCACACCTCAAACACAAATCAAAGGACTCCACACACTGCTTGGATGCATCTCAAAAATATCCATCCTGAGCACTGAAAAAGGCAGGAAAATATCTCCTGACTGAAATTTCCAGTTACTGTACTGTTATGGAAACGTAGAAAGGTTTCATTTGTGATGATATTGGTACATCCTTAAAAGAAAGTCTGTTGCAACCTTTAAAAAAAAAAAAAAAGGCAGGAAGAGAATAGTTAATGCTGAAGCAGTAAAAGGAAATAGAATGCTTTCAGACATGCATTCATACTGTAGATACCACACTAAGCAAAAATCTGAGAGAGATTATACAAAATGTTTGTCAATTCTCACCCCACACCAAACAAGTCATCATAAAATCACCTTGTTTATGAGAACATTCAGTGGGTTTAGTTATCCTGAATTCCATCACCCCAACACTTAACCTACTCGTGACTTGTTGGACAATTTCCATTCAGCCAGAGATGTGAAAATACTCTCTAAACCAAACTGCCTACAAATAATTTTGAGACACACTGGTATAAGAAAATTACTGTCTGCACAGCTTATACAAGCATTAAAATAAATAAATAAACAAACAATTAAAAACTCGCATTATAAAAACAATGAAACATACAAAAACAATTGATGAAAGTCCAATTACTAATTCCTGCCATTTCTTACAGCACGCTGTCTGCTAAGTGCCGAGCCATATGTTGACTATACAACTCAGGAAAATCAAAACCAAAATATCAGAACTGAGTTACTGGTACTACATCCTACATTAATATTTACGTACTCTACAACACAGAAAGGAATCAAAAAGGTGCTTCTCATCCTAAGGTGCACAGTAAAGAGGCACATATTTTTGATACAAACTTTTAGAAACAGAAATGAAAATTAAATAATAGAGGCATTTTCACATAAATACACTGCTAGTATGAAGACACAGCAAGAGGTGACACTGGCAGAATATGTTTTAGTGGCTCCTAGTTTTAATAAAAAGTTTTCTTTACTTATTATGGAATATATCACTCTAATAGAAAATCAAAAAAGCCAGACAAATTAAATCAAGATAAGACATCACATAATGAATAAATTAATGTGCTTGAGGTATCAGGGGTTTTTATGCCATGAAACGTGAGAAAGAACTTTGGAAGTCTTTAACAAAATTGTGTAGTTACTTCACATCAAAGGAAAATAAGTAAAAACCAGAAGAGGCAAATCTTCATTCTCAATAAATGAGTTGTCTTGCAAAGTAGAAGATTCACAGCAAAATCTAGAACTAAACTACATTTATAAAGCTACGGCAAGCAGCAGTTAACTAATAATTATGATTACACAAGTCTTGGACCTCATTTTTATTCATTTATTCAATTCATCTTGCATTTCAGTTATGTTTAAAACTTGAGTAAATTATAAATAGGAAAAAAACCTTGAACTGATAGAGTAATCTAAATTATTTTCAACTTGTTGAAAAGATCCCTCTGTAACTGTGAAGAGAATACAAAAAGCACTTTTAGTACCTTCTCCTTCCTGAACCACTTCAAAAGTCTCTTTAAATATAAACTCCAGATCATGTTTCACACATTATATTATTCCTCCAGAAAAGGATCAGTAACAAAAGAGCAGCTGGTTATTGGTGAATATAAAATTCTTTTATACCCAAATCGCAGAAATACTCATCAATTCATTTTATGAATTTGTCATTCTTTAGGTTTGACTGAAGCTTAAGTATTTTCAGATTTATAAATATGACAGTTCAAGCGATTGCCAGAATGAAAAGACACGTTCCCGATACAAATGCAGGGCCTTAATGTTTAATTGGTTCTCATACTGAACCCTACTGAGCTACAGATTGGATCCTGTTTCTTGCTTACAGTCTGTACTCACACAAGTTATATTTGATAAAAATCTTGTGTATTTCAAGTATTTGTAATAAAACAGTAATTTGGTATGTAAATAGACATTATAATTTAACCCAGCTAGCAAAAGCCATTCTTTCCCTAACAGCACTGTTTATATTCACTGCTTTCAGATAATTCCAAAATTACACCATAGCTGCAAAATACACAAAAATATATGGAACAAAAAAGTATCCGTGGTATTACGAATCCTGCAAATTCTCTCACAACTCTGACCCTGAAAACACAATAATACAACAAAGCAGAACTCTATATATATGGTGTATATATATGGTGTAGCCTCACTCCCACTGAGACTGTTTCACACACTCTACCTATAGGTTTGGAAGTTCTCCATAGCTACATAGCTCCAGATTCTTAGAAAGCTACTTTCAAATTTAGAAACTATTTAGTTAGGCTGTTCTACCATGAGCCTTCATGAAGATAGTCAGTACTCAATTAAACGCTGCATTTGCTGAGTCAGGTGTACTTGCCCAATTTTTAAACCCACTGCAGTACTGTTGTATTAAATTTCATACAAATAACCACATCACTCCCATTTAATTCCAGAACACAGTGCAGGGTCTGTTCCAAGCACCTGGATGCCGACGAACATTTCAGTATAAATGCTGTAACTTGTGGGTTATGGGAATTTTTATTGGCCCGTGACTGTGGCAAAAAGGTGAGTATAAACCTGCATCTTCATGTAAAGCCCACTGCTTGGTACAGGAATTTCACAGCCAACGGACATTGAGAACCACATTTTTACTTATTTACTTAGAACTCCCTAGGTGTAATACAACCTCCTGCACCTACTAAAGAGACACTAGTTGCGTGTACCAGCAGGAGCACAGACTTTCCAACACACGGCATGAGATATTTTAGGAGAAAAATAAAGACATCTTACATTCACACCTTTCAGAATCTAAGTTCATCTGGCTCTAGGAAACCCTACAAAGCACATCTGATCCAACTTTCAAATTGTTTTACCACAACCTAGAGTCTGTTATTCTGCCACTTTGCTTGCATATGTACTTCAAGTGTAGCACCCCGACCTCCACAACTGATATGACAAGGTTTGCTATATGTAAGACTCAGAATAACCTCTTAATAACAAATATCTTTGCCAGCAATGTAATTCAGGTCAGTGATCCTGGAGCTGTAAGTTAAAGAGGTCTTTCATAAATCAAGTTAGGACAGGTTGATTTAAGAGTGGCAATACAGAGATATATACATATGCATGCCAAATAACTGGATAATGACAAAACAAACTGCTTTAAAAACAAACTTTGCAGATTCAACATAAGAGGACACATGGAAGTTCAAGATGACATTTGGGTTTCTAAGTTTAGAAGTAAATTTCACCAAAACCCCCAAAAGGTGGTCATACACCATTTAATATAAAAATCATGATGCTCACCCAAAAAGATTTTGAGGGAAAAAAAAATTTAAGAGTGATTAGTAACAAGCACTTACGTCTATTTATTAATTTTCCTCCCCTTAAAATTAAATAACTTTTTCTCAAACCCTCTACAGCACCCATCAAATCACAGACTAGATCTTCCACACTGTTTAGCGCACGGGACCACTTCCAAGTTTTATGGCAACAGTCGCTAAGCTCTTTCAATGTCATATTTCAGCTTCTACACTCTATGGTATCTTATTTTAAAAATAAGAACATTTCAAAAAGTCAGACTGCACTGTATTACTGATCAAATCTGTTAGCAAGTCTGCCACTAAAGAGCCACAGAACATAAGCATTTGGAGGGTTAAGTACAATACATCAGCTTTAAAACATGAAAAGCCATCTCTAGTCAAGGCTTGTCCCTTTACCTAAGTCATAAATTATCAGATAAATACAAAGAAGTTGCAAAATTGCAGCTTGGGATTTAGAATGAATGCAAATATCTCCTTTACAAAGTACACGCCCACCACACAACCAATTCTAATTAAAGAACGCACTGACCGAACATGTCAATCTCAGGTGTCATCAGTAATCCCATAATCCTGTAATAAGGTCTTTCTTAGACTGAACTAGTATCTGGAATTATTTCCAGGTGATCCAGATTGTGAAAACAAGCTGTGTATTCAGAAAGACAAGAAAAAATAGCTCTACCTCCCTCCCCACTGAAATAAACTAAAAAGTTATTACACAAGTATCCAAAAGAATTTCACAAAATACAATCTAAAGACTTTTTTTTTTTAAGAGAAATTAATGATATTCCCTTTGGCTGTCTCAAACTTAAACGCGGTTCAACTTTCAAAACCTGAAGTTAACAGAGCTACCAAAAAAATACAGGGGGGGCGGGGAGGGGGGAGAATAGACGACAGCAACTTCTGCAACCTGTCGGTGACCTGTGCAGCACAGTTTCCTTCTGCTCCCTCCTACCTGCTCTGCACACGCTCGGGAGAAGCGGCAGCAGCAGCAGCCCAGCTCTCTGCTGCAGCATCAGGGTCAGGTAAGGATTGCAGCAGAGAAGGAGGAAGAGAAGACTGCCATTGCATTCAGTAAGCTTTTTGCCATTTTTCTTTCCTCCAAGACATTATTTAGAGTTCTGCAACTCTGTACTCCACCCCCACGTCAATTAATGATGCAAAGGAGGCAAGGTACTTGTTTCCCCATTGCAAAACACATGCAACTACAAAAAGAGAGAGAGAGAGAAAGCAGATCCTGGCAAGGACTCACAGCACACATGACACTCTGAGATCATGAATCCAGCTACTGCATTATTCTTTATACAAGATACAGTTTTCCATTATCATAAGGAAGGGCAATGACACTTGCACATGCTTCATTAGACAAATGAAGAGGCATAGTAACTTCAAACCTACACTGAAGGACTTGGGGAGGGGGGTGGTACAAGTGAATCAAACTGACGAAGTGTTCGCACTCTGCAATACCCCACAAGCTAGTTTAAAGACATACGCTAAAAAGCAGTTCACGACATGACAGCAGCACGCGCTGCCGGAGGAAACAACATCAGCACGACACGACACCAGCACAATCACTCAAATTCACCCTTGCCACCCTCTTCCATGAAGTTCTGAGCAGCTTACAGCACGGGACTAGAGAGCCTCAGGGAGCACAGGAAAGTAACATTCGCTGCCCGCAGCTAACCTTGGAAGACGTTTACCCTGAAAACATTTCTTCTCGGGATAGTTATTTCCAACAGAAGTGGCACCGGCTTCCTCTCTGCAGGTCGGGTTATTTCCAGCCCGCGGTGTCAGGACGCCAGAGGTGAGGTCTGCGCGAAGAAGACGCGGGGTGAACATCACCCCCCAAACGCGGCTTTAC